CTCCAACACTGCGACTATCCGCCCACGTCGACACCGCAGCTCACTCGCCAGTAATGTCTCATCTCCGATGAATTTCACGGCCTTAGAGCCATCATTTCCCGGCGGCATTAGCTACAACCCTCCTGCCACTGGGTCTCCCACCTTTGGCCCGACTTCTGCCTTCTTCAACATCAACAATGGAATGACCCTCCCGAACCTTTCGGGCCAGTCTGATAGTACGCGAGGATACTCGGATATGTCGCTTGGAAACCCTCAGATGAGCCCTCGTGCCGACGCACTTCTCCCGTCCGATCTTCTCGGGGATGAGGAGTCTCCCGAACTCCCTCGTCCGGCCATCCGTTCTCGCTTTTCCAACCTCGAGCAGCCAAGCACTGCGCTAGAGTTTCCCCATGGGCCACCTTCACCAGACTCTACCGGAAGCAGGCCGGAAAGCCTCTTTGCGAGTCCGGAGGACCAGACCCTGCCTAAAGATGTTGAATCGCAACCAGTGAACTTGGATGTAGGCGAGGCACCGAAGAGTGCGTCGCGCAGGCTTTCGGGGCTCTTTGGCTTCCACCGACCTCGCGGCAAGACACTGGCAGATGAGCCACCTCTACTGGGCAGTTTGAAACCAGGACAAAGTCAGTCGTTCCCCCGTAATCTGGAGGAGATGGATCCCATAGGGGCTAGACGGCGTCGGCTGAGCTATACAGGCAACTGGGCGAACCCGATGTCTCTGTTCCCCAGGAGCAACACAGCAGGTGTTACAACAGACAGCTCCTCCGACCATCTTCCCTCGCGTCGTGCGGGCATTTCCAGCATTTTCTCATCCAGCCGATTTGGATTTGGCGGCGGACACGGTCTGCTCAAGTCCAGTGAAAATTCCGATCAAAGCACAGGATACAATCAGTTCAGTCCTCGTCATGATCCAATTGATCCTTCCTCCATCTTGGGCGCAGTACGCCGGGAGTCGTTGTCGCCGCGGCCCTCATCGACCTTCTCTTTCGAAAACCAGCTTCCTCATCCCTCCACCGATAATCGTCACTTTGGTTGGCCATCAGCAGAAAAGCAAGGCCATCGGAGTCCTTTGGGGTTTGACTGGACCTCCCCGTCGACTTGGTCCCGGGTGCAGTCGCGCCGGCCATCTACACAGTACGGCTCAACGGGTCACTTACCTTTAGGCCTTACCGGAGAGCCAGACTTTCTTCAGGATTCGTTCGAGAGACAAGGTCGGCCATTGCAGGCGCCTATTGGAACGCGACCATCATCTTCTCACCGACCAGTCACCCCGAAGTTGAATCCTGCAGCGCCTTCCTTCAGGACCATCTTTGGGAAGCGATCGGATAAGAGCAAAGAGAAAGAGGCAGCGAGGGACCGAGAGCTAGATGCTCCATTTGACTTTCACATGGAGGAAGGCTCTCCGTCTGAATCGCGTACCTCGCGGGATTCTCGCTCTCTTTCTATGTACACAGGCGACTCATACGAATCCTTGGAACGTATGCCCTCCGCAGGCTCGCTGGATAATGGAAGCTCGAAAGAGTCATTCATTCGCAAAATCACCCGAAAGGGCAGTTCCAGCAAGTTCAGTTCCTGGAAGGACCGATCAGGGCTCTTCTCCAAGAAGGGTGACCCTTCGCAAGGCGACATTGACGAAGACGCACACAGCGAGGCGATGCTTGCCAAGAGTGTGGACAGCACTGTGTCCAGCGCTCCTTCGGCTGACCGGTCAACTCGAAGCAGCCTGGGATTCTTCAGTCGCATGTCCAGGAAGTCCGACAAGGCCGCCAGTGAGACGAGCGAGCGCCCCAGTGAGCATGTTAGCGAGGCTGAGGATGAAGAGGCAGCGGAGGAGGTCCAAGCATGAACATACAGCATTCATTCTTTATTTCTCATTTCTTTAGGTCGCCCTGTGGCGTTAGGCATTCTTTCAATCTCTTAACTAGTGACGGTAGAAGTCATTGTGTGGCACATAGCATGCCTTTCTTATCCTCTTGATATGATTCTCTCTTCCGTATATCTGCCATTGGCTGTAGTAATTGAATAGGCGAAAGCTCTAGTTGAAAGTATATCACATCGGAGAAATTTGCACCCAACCAGGAATGCTGAGAGCAGGTGGTGCAGAGCAGCGCAACGCTGGCAGTGGAGGGACGGTTCGGTTCGTCCCTCATCCCCACCCAAATCTTCATGATTCATCCTTCCTCGCCAGCCCGACGGCTTTTCCTGCACAACAATCATCGGCAGTTTGAATACTGCAGTCTAAAGCAAGATGGCAAATTCCAAGTATCTTCCCTACCTCTTTAATATTCTTTGAGAGCCGCTGCTGACCTCCACAGATATGAATACGTCAAATCATTCGAGCAACCGGACGCTCTACTCCCCAATACATGGATTGTGGTCCGGATCGATGGCAGAGGCTTCCACAAGTCAGTGCCACCTCTCTTTCAAAGCTCCAACATGACGCTGCGCTTCTGATCAACTGCTATTAGCAGCTGAGATAACATCTAATTTCATCAGCTGGCTGTCTACATGTTGCTAACTGAAAGAATGTAGACTCTCTGATCACTACGGCTTCATAAAGCCCAACGACCGCCGGGCCCTAGACCTAATGAATGCTGCAGCAGTCGGCGTCATGAAAGACCTACCTGATCTTTGCATCGCCTACGGTATTAGCGATGAGTACAGGTACGTGATGCGGCATGCTCCTGGTCAAATGTGGCGATATTGACTTGACATTAGTTTTGCTTTTCATCCCAACTGCCAATTGTTCGAGCGGCGGAGTGCGTAAGTCATCTCTTTTTTTTTTCGCGCAATATTCCATGTCCACTAGCAGTATGAACTTACTTGCCTTGGGGATGCAGCAAGTTAGTAACGACTATTGTGTCAACATTCACGGCACATTATATCTATCTGTGGGGAACGTATTTCCCAGATACGCCGCTCCAGCCGGCGGCTCTGCCTTCGTTTGATGGAAGAGCAGTGATGTATCCGAACTCTAGGATATTTAGGGATTATATGAGCTGGCGGCAGGTGGATTGTGAGTTTTATTCCATTCGCAGCATAAATGGCCCTTCGGGTTGTTGTGTGCTAATATGCTGCAGGTCATATTAACAATCTTTACAATACGACATTTTGGACCATGGTCCTGCAAGGTGGGATGGATAGAAGAGAAGCTGAACTGGAATTGAAGGTGAGTTTCTGGTTTTGAGAGATGCTGCTGCTGCTAACAGTGTGAACTAGGGCACCCTGTCTTCTGACAAGAATGAGATCCTCTTCAAGAGGTTCGGTATCAACTATAATAATGAAGAAGAGATCTATAAGAAGGGCAGCGTCATCTATCGCCAGGTATGTGTGTCTCCGCTGCCTCGTATGTGTGGCTACTGACCAAGATACAGTATCAACTAGAGGATGTCAAAGCCAAACCGGACTCCAGCGTGCAGGAAGAAACATCACCATTGCAGGAGGACACACCCTCCAAGACACAGCAGGAAAAGATCCGCAAACTGCGTCGCAAAGTGCAGGTCGTGGTCGATCATGTCGACATCATCAAGGATGAGTTCTGGGAGAGACGGCCTTGGATTCTCTCTGGCAAGCCCGGAAAGCTGCCTACAGAGGCTAAGCAAGTAGCATGATGATAATATGATGATAAACAAAGAATAATGAATGATGCAAATATTGTTCGTGAGAATATACAACCAAGTAGCACAGCCATGGGTATCTTTAAGTCGAATCTATCTATATACTGCCAAAGAGCATCTCTTATCCCGTTCGTTCACGTTCACTTCGAGGACACCGTCTCATCCTTGGACTTTTTCGACTTCTTTTTCTTTGACTCGTCATCAGACGTAGAAATCTCTCGCTTCGTTTTCTTCTCCTTCTTGTCCTTCTTCACCTTCTTCACTTTTTCCACCGACTCATCCCTTCCGCTTGACTCCGTCTGTTCCACCTCCGTCTCCGGCGGCGTGGGATACTCATTCTCTGGACCAGCCTTCCTCTTCTTCTTCTCCTCCTTCACCAACCTCTTCTTCTCCTTCTTCTCCCTCCTCTCCGCCCTCCTAGCCTCCTTCGCCTCCCTCCTCTTCTTCCTCTCCTCTCTTCTCTTCGCCCTCTCCTCCTTCCTCTTCCTCTTCTCCTCCCTCCTCACCCGTCTCTCCTCCTTAGTCTCCTCCCCCTTCTTCCGCTTCTTCTTCCCATCAGCATCCTCATCATCCTCCCCAGCCTTCCTCTTCCTACTTTCCCCGTCCTCCTTCTTGTCTTTATTCCCCAGCGTCCCAGGAACCGTCTCCCCCCTCACAAAATACCGATACAGCTCACTCGTCAACGCATTCGGCGTGCGCTTCGCATCCCCCGCACTCTTGTTCTCATCGCCCACGCCCTTCAGCGCGTCCTCGAAACCCCGCAACCACCATTGATTCGTGGGATCCTTGGTGGTCTTCTTCCCCACGCCTTGGTTGCCTTGGCGTCGCGCAACGAGAATCGGTCTCGTCAGGCCCAGACCGCCGTGTGTGCCGGGGCGGCGGTTCGGGTTGAGGGGGTTGCCGGGGCCGGACCAGCCGTGGCGGAGAAGGTAGGCTTGGGCGTCCATTTTCTTATCCTTCCTTATTCGGTTCTGGATATGTGGAAGTAGGTGGTGGGTGAGCGAGTGGTTCGGAGGCAGTAAAGTCGGTAGGTTGGTAGGTTGGTAATCCGTTGAATGCGACAGAAACACTCAGTTCATATCGACCGACCGATCGAACGGTGAAATGCAGACGGCACACGTATGTATGTAACTTGTATGGAAGAAAGGGAAAAAAGAGCCGTATGTAAAATACCCCCAAACACACACACCCAAACAAAGGAACAAAGCGACCCACAGAGCGCGAAGGGATAGAAAGATCAGATACGGAGTAATGTAGGTAAGAAGGGGAGATTGGAAAAAAATCTAACTACTATCTAATCCAGTCCTGCTGCAACTCCGCGATAAGATAACTAACCGGTTTGGCTCTGTGGAATATGGACCGAAAATTTGCAAACTTTAAATCACCAGTCGCGTGGTCTAATGGTTATGATTTCTCGTTCACATCATCAGCTTGTTTGATGAGGTTCCGAGAAGGTTCCCGGTTCGATCCCGGGCGCGACTATTTTTGTCTTTGTTTTTGTTTTTTTCTAATCTTGGGACTAATCTTTGATCTATTGGGTTTAGGTTTGATTTTTGTGGGTTTAGTGTGTTTTATGCGCGGATATAATATATATCTCCTACTTTGGGGGATTATAGTATTTGTCAAGGTAGTATGTTGGACTAGGTATGCTGGTCGCGCGGTCTCCTTCCTCTCTCTGACTAGTAATACAAGTAATATTATGGGGGTTATAATATTGGATGCTATGAAGCTAGTAGCATGTGATTAGTAGACTAGCAGGGTGTGAAAGCTATAGCGATGGCGTTGTTTATATCATGGTAGTACTATGGATGAGCACGGGAGTGGTGTTTGGTATAGTGTGGTATGGGGATATAAATATGCAGACCAGCTCTACAATTTGTGTACAACAATGACTTCATTCTGGCAAGCAACACGTCCGCCAGCACACCCATAGAGTTGCTAATTAGTACTATATAGAAATAGCATCGAGAATGGGCTGCCCAACTAATTGCTGGAATATTTGCTGAATCATGGACAATCGATGCATATCATTAGTGATACTATGATTTCATCTCTAATTCGTACCGCTAGTATCTTGTCGTTGTTGTAATGGCATCTCGACTAACTCCACTATAGGTTGATTATCGTGTATAGTTAGCTATGAATTGGATTAATAAGCTATATTTCTTGAATATTATCAATGAAAATAAATACGTAACCTATAAGGAAGCCTCCACGGCACGGTCTATCTACCTCCCTAGAGTAGTAAGACATGCAGAATTCCTCCCTAGAAAGGGGTGATTTCTTCAGAATGAATAGTCTCCACTTTGCCTGTCACCGTTCGCTAGTCCATCGTTCTAGGCTATAAAGGCGGCATGCACCGCCCGCCTTGCTGTATAAGACGCCGATTTAAGTACTTATGGACACGGCCATTTGGTCTCCACTCAGAGCGCAAGACCATCTCAGAGAGCACAATGAGGACCGTGCCCCCCTAAGAATTTTTTTTCAAAATGAAAATCACTCATTGTCTACTCGGAGATTCGTTGTTAATAATACCTCATTCCCAGTTTGCCTGACCGGACGCGGGCCAATTTGTGGCTGTGGCTGGCAGTAGCTATTAGTAAACTCAATTCTCCAGCGGTATATGCCATGTGATTTTCTGTAGGTAAGTAAGTACTCCGCTACCCTTCGCTTTAGAGGGGTCAACGGTGAGCCTCACAATCGAGGCTCGTTTGTAGGTCAGGCCATGCCTCGCTGATTGGACGGGAACCGTAACGGTAGAAATAGCAGCATGCCATCATGGACGGACACTTTCCGCAAGGCAAACACAGATGCAGGAAATAGGACGGGGGCTGCGTTAGTTAAAAGCCCCTACATAATAGTAGGTGTGATATAGTCACCAACCCGCGGAAAAATAGCTACAAAAGACGGAGGTCTTTGTCATGCACGGGACCAGAAGTCGGCTTTTATCATAATAAACAGACCGCAACTGGTCCCAGCATCATCCCCGAAAGGAAGGTCGATTGTTGACGACCAACGGCCGACTCCGAAGGCCAAACGGTTGGGCAAATCATGGGCCAGCAGTCGTATGGGTTGATATTTCCGATGGGGAACATTGGAAACCGGGCCGGGCGTCGAAGGTGGATGATGCCACGACGACTCTCCATTCTGAGCCCGGAGCAAGCAGGAGGACCTTGCTTAGAAACCAGCTCCGTAGGTCTGTAGAAATGAAAGGGAGGTATAGTTCTGCAGTGAGTGTGTATCTAGATATCGGGGCTATCAACTTGCTGGTCGTGTAATTAACCCAGAACTTCGCAATCGAGTTAGAACCTCGATGGGGTAATTTTTCTGGTCGGTAATTGCTGCCTTTCATCTAGTTGGATTTAGAGAGGGGGAGCTAAAGTACTAAGCCAGCTAGTATAGTACGTGCCCCGTGATGATTCCCCAAGGGAAGGAGATAGCTGGGAAGCCACAACTCTCTCTCTTCCCACCCCCCTCTCTCAAATCGATCCTTGGTTCTAAGGTTGTGTCGTTTAAGGAGAATAAATGCGAGGCTTGCAGCAATGCTGCTCTGCAGAGATTCGTGGATCTCAAGTTGGGGGTGTGATTGACTTGTCATCGAACAATGGGGAAGTGAGGTGGCCATTAAGGAAGGTACTAGTAGCGCACAGAAGCAAGCGTCAAGAATGCCTATCTTCTGAATGTACCCAGTACTACTAGTTAGGTGCACATCTGTACCACATACAGTTAAACACAAAGATAAAAGACATGATTTGTATGGTCCGAAGCCATCAAGTAGATAAGTTAGAAGACTAGTAGGGTTAAGAAGAACTGAGAACCAGTCGTCAGTGCGTGTGATTGATGGGGGAAAAAGAGGGGAGGGAAATTCCCAAGACTTCGGTGTATGCAGGCCGAGCAGGTGAGAACAGCCGGTTTGACCAGGCACCAAGTACAACGCATAGAAGGATGATGCATGCATCACCACCATCGACCCGAGAGTCTGGGAAGCGGTGAAACGATCAACATGGGATTCCTACATTAAGGCAACTACTTTCCCTTAGGTCAAACGCCAGGCTGATTCGGGCGCCAAGCGGGCGGGTGACCATGGGATGGATTGGAGGACACATGTACGATGTATGTATGGAGTACAGGAGGGACAACTTGCATACGGAGTACATACTACATGCGTCGACCTAAGCTCGTAGTGTGCCCGGCTCACGGCGCTGACCGTCCATCCGTCCTCCACCGGCCCAGTTCTTTCTCTCTGTCTCTCTTTTTTCTATTATTTTTGCTTTTTCTTCTTTCTCCGTTGGGAGAGAGAGGCAGAGAGAGGGAGCCTTGGATGTTTTTATTTGATCCGATTTTACCTTTGTTCATGGTGTCGTCTCTTTTTTAATTTCGTTTTTATTTATTATTTTTTAATTCCACCTCCACACCTCCTCTCTCTTACCATAGCGCTGTCCAACCGTTCGGGATGGATCACAGGCCTCAGCTCCAACGCTGATCCAGCATGTTGTCCCGATATATTGAGTTCCATGGTGCAGCCCGTCCAGGAATAGTTGGATGTAACGTAGCCCCCTCCCAGCCAGCCTCCCACACTTCCACTAACCTTCATGTGGTGGGTATGGCAATACTGAGGAACTTCAGAGAATTCCGAAAATAATTGAGGTAGTACAGAGTGAAACCTTCTTTTTCGTTTCTGCGAGAGGTGTCGCGAAATCATGGTTTTCCTTCCCAACATGCCCCCACCTGAGAAATTATTCCTGATCACCCGCAGCGAGGTCATGATGTGATGAGTATCATGATAATCTCCGACCATGATCCTTCCTGGATTCCTGGAAAGTCTTGTTAGTATCCAAGACCGGGAGTCATCATGTCCATGCCCACAGCCACGGGCTAGTCGTCCAGGACGGAGTCCGAGTGGAACCAACGACCAGCGTGTGTGTAAAGAGTCACGCTCTCTCTCTCTCTCTCTCTCTCTCTACCAGCGAGACACAATGTATCTAGCGCTACCAGAGAGAGGAAGAGAGAGATACGGAGCGCCCTCAGCAAATTGATCCACTCCGGAGCGGCTGCACGCAATGCCGTGGTTTAGTGACCCTGAATGATGGAGGGTTGGAACGGGTTTTGGTTTGCCTGTGGTGGGCGCTGCGGGCGCTACGGGCGAGGGTTGAAAGGGAAGCACGTCCGAAGCTTCAAATCCTTCAACCAGAGTGTTGGTAACGCTGCCTGACGCTGGCGTGCCTGAAAATGCGGGCAGCGACCGCTAGGCCCACGGAGATATTGTGCGTTAGTGGCTCCCCCGAGGAAACTTTCCTTTATTCAACTAAGTGTGGGAGACGGTCCGCATCCCGCCCGGAAGTCACTTGGTCTAAATTTGATGGAGGACCCATCCATGGTTGCTGTCTTCCTCGATCCTGGCTCGTTTCAATCTCTTTGGTTCTTTTCCCCCCCTCACAAACCTCCGTTTTATAGCGTCGGGCAAACTGATCCTGCCCTAGCCTGCTCTCAGCCATTAAAGTGATGGCTTCTATTTCATTAGTTTTGGCCTAAGTGTTTTTTTATTTTTTTGTTTTTCTTTTATTTCCCCCCCCCCCATTTTCTCCGTGATTTTTTCTTCCCCTTTGGTACGCACTCGCGCTCACTTGTATATCCGGTTGATCCCTCATTATTGTGATCACCGTTATTTTCCCATTGCTCGTCTTGTTACTGGTAAGACGGATACATACAAGCCGCGAACCGAGGCAATGGGAACTCGTATCAGAGCCTCAGGCAGGAAGATGAATGGCTGACTCCTCTTTAGTACTGGTTGGGAGGACAGGTGCGTACTAGAAGGACGGAATATCAACGACATCTTCAACACCAATCATTTACCGCCAGCCTCGAACTGGTCCCAAGTTATCGATTTGTGTGAGAACTGGACTTTGGCGACCCGAGATTAGGTATCCATGCTGTGTTTCTTGGCTTTTTGGAAGCGAAAGGAAAGAAAGGGAAATGCTGAGGATAGAGAAGAAGTGGTAGACTAGAGAAGGATACCGATATAAAGAAATACAATACTGCCTAAAATGGAAAAAGCAATTGGAAAAGAAAAACCGGGAAAGGGTGATAAAAGGGAAAAAAAAATAAGGGAAAATAAAAAAATAAGAATAAAAAAGTTGGAATTACTAAGAAAAGGCAATGAAGGGAGACCAAAAGAGACCAGAAAAAGAAAAAAAAAAAAATGGGACAGACGAAGAGAAAAGAAAAATAAAAAGAATTGAGAGACAAAGACTAAATGGGGAGACGCTAAGCTACTTACCTGCTTCGAACTCGTGGTGGATACAAGCTGTATGTATTTTATGCGTATGATATACCGACTACCTATGTATCCAGGATTATCCCCTGTGGATATAGCATGTAGCATGTAGGTCCGGGTGCACCACCTGGTAACACCTGGGAGCCACTAGCCAGACTATCTAGTTAGTGCGCTTGTGTGTGATGGTAGTAAGTTAGTTAGCTAGGTT